TCTTGTTGCTATGCTGACTATCTGTTTTTAGTGCTTTCTAAATCACAGATTTAAAGAAGTACAGGCAAAGCTCATTTGGCTGTACTTCTGAGGATCACAGGGGTGTAGTACGTTCTGCACTCCTGCTACCCGTTTTCAGCCAAAAGCAGGTCTGCTGTCTGCTGATGTCACCCGGATTCCTGGACTGGCACCTGGCTCGGCCTCTCAGCAAGCCAGGTGTACTTGGTCAACAACAAATGTTCAGGTAGCTGGCACATCCAAAGTAATATCAACATAAATGGCAGGACCCAAGGTTTCCCAGCAGTACATTGCCAAAAGCATCACAGTGCTGCCGCTGGCATGCCTTCTTATAGTGCATCCTGGTGCCATCTTTTCATCAGAAAAGTGACACACACAGATCTGTCCATCCACATGATGTGAAAGGCAGTATAATATATCAGACCAGGTCACCTTCTTCCATTGCTTCAAGGTCCATTTCTGATGCTTATAAACACTTTTGGCTGTGGACACAGGGCAGCATGGGCACCCTGACTAGTCACCGGCTATGCAGCCACATATACAACAAACTATGATCCCCATTTTTTCTACTTTCCACTTCAGGGGCAATATGTTTACTTGCTGCCTAAAATATCACACCAAAGTCAGATTCCATTGTAACAAGATAATCAATGTTATTCTTTTAACCTGTCACTGGTTAAAAGACATTTTGGCAGACTGGATAGAATGTTAATGTTGTGTTTATGCATAATGTAAGTGTAACAAAAATATAGAAAATGGGTACCATTACAAATACGTAGCTGTGATATCACCTCACTTCTATATTTTATAGGAATGAACCCCACTATTTTAAATTCTAGTATTTAACTGTAGATAAATGTTCTCAAATTATAATTTGAAAGGAAAGAGTAGGTCTGTAAACCAGAACTGACACCTAGCTGCCAATAGAGTTTTCAAATACTTGAATCTATAGTAAGCACAAACAGTCACCTCACTGAGCCTCAAATGACTCTCTAGCCATTTTTATTGCAACCCCAGCGGGGGAAGAGGCCTATACACACAGAAGACTCTGAACTGTATACCAACAATTTACGTTATTTTAACCACCTCAATACTGGACACTTTCACCCTCTTCCTGCCCAGGCCAATTTTCAGCTTTCAGCACTGTCACACTTTGAATGCTAATTGTGCAATCATGCAACACTGTATACAAATGAAATCTTTATTTATTTATTTTTTTAGACAAATAGGGCTTTCTTTTGGTGGTATTTAATCAACACTGGGTTTTTTATTTTTTTGTGATAAGCAAAAAAAATTGTGAACATTTTGAAAAAAGAAATCACCCTTTCTCTGTTATACAGTTTTGGTAATAATCTTTATTCATAAATTTAAGCCAAAATGTATTCTGCTACATTTCTTTGGTAAAAATAACCCACATCCGTGTATATTGTTTAGTCTGTATGAAAGTTATAGAGTCTACAAACTATGGTATATATATTTGAAAATTGATCAGTCCTGGTGTACTGATTTGCCCATCTCATTTCATGAGGCCCTAAAATGCCAGGACAGTACAAATACCCCCAAAATGACCTCTTTTTGGAAAGTAGACAGTCCAAGTTATTTAGTAAGAAGCAAGTTTTTTGAAGTTGTAATTTTTTTGACACCATTTTTGGGAAAATATGGAAAATAAATAATTTTTTTTTCCACAAAGTTATTTTAACAGGTTAACCCATACAGCATAGGCATACTTATAATTACACCCCAAAACACATTCTGCTAGGTCTCCTGAGTATGGGATACCACGTGAGACTTTTTTTTAACAGCCTAGATACATAGAGGGGTCCAAAATCCATGGAGTAGACTTGGGCTTTCAAGGAGCATAAATTACGCATCTAATTTCCTAACTACACATGACAATTTTGGAGGCCTTGGAGCACAAGGACAGTGGAAATAAATTACCCCATTTTGAAAAGCAAACACTCCAAGGTATTTTCTGAAAGGCATACCGAGTCATTTTTTGACAAACATTTTTGGAAAATGCAGGAAGGAAAATGAAAATTTTTTTTTTTTTTACATAAAGTTGTAAATTAATAACATATTTCTAAAACACAGCATAGGCATACTTACAATTAAACCCCAAAACACATTCTCCTACTTATTCCGAGTATGGCGATACCACATGTGTGAGACTTTTTCAGTCTAGCCATGTAGAGGGGCCCAAAATCCAAGGAGCACCCTCAGGCGTTCTAGGGCAATAAATTACACATCTAATTTCCTGACTAGCCATCACATTTTTGGAGCCCCTGGAGCACCAAGATAGCAGAAACACCCACAAAATTACCACATTTTGGAAACCAAACACTCAAATGTATTTTTAGGAGGCATGGCGAGTCTTTTGTTGACTTAATTTTTTGACACAAGTTTTGGGAAAACGCAGAAAGAAAATGACCCCTTGCCTACTGGACACCCCATTCCTGCCCAGGCCAATTTTCACCTTTCAGTACTCTCGCATCTTGAATGACAATTGTGTGGTCATGCAACATTGAATCCAAACAAATTTTTAGCATTATTTTGAGACAGATAGAGCTTTCTTTTGGTGGTAATTGTTTACCACTGTTTTTTTTTTTTTTGCTAAACAAACAAAAAAAGACAACATTTCGAAAAAAAAAGTTTTTCTTAGTTTCTGTTATAAAATTTTGTAAATAACTATTTTTTCTCCTTCACTGATGTGTGCTGATGAGGCTGCACTGACAGGCAGCAACGATAGACAGCACTGATAGATGGCACTGATGGTACTGACAGGCATCATTGATGGGCACTGACATGTGGCATTGATGGGAACAGAAAGGCAGCACTGATGGGGATGCACTGATAATCAGGGTACTGGTGATCAGTGTCCTGATTATCAGTGTAGATGTCCTCTCTGAGGAATGCTATATACCGGCTCTCCTTTTGCGCTGTCAGTGAGTGCTCCTGCCCATCCATTTCCTTATACAGTGGGCGGGACGCGATTAAAATTAATTTTTTTTTTTTTTTTACAAAATGTTGTCAGTTTAATAAGATATTTCTCACACACAGCATGGGCATACTTCTAATTGGTTACAATTAGAAGACGCCTATGTGAAGCCAAGCTATCTGCAAGAAGCCCCCGCAAAGTCCCACTGTTGAAAAAAAAACGTGCTGAAGAGATTACAATTTGCCAAAGAGCACATTGACTGGCCTAAAGAGAAATGGCGCAACATTTTTGTGGACTGATGAAAGTAAGATTGTTCTTTTTGGGTCTAGTGGCCGGAGACAGTTTGTCAGACGACCCCCAAACACTGAATTCAAACCACAGTACACTGTGAAGACAGTGAAGCATGGTTGCGCAAGCATCATGATATGGAGATGTTTCTCATACTACGGTGTTGGGCCTATTTATCGCATACCAGGGATCATGGATCAGTTTGAATACATCAGAATACTTGAAGAGGTCATGCTGCATTATGCTGAAGAGGAAATGCCCTTGAAATGGGTGTTCCAACAAGACAACGTCCCCAAACACACCAGTAAATGTCCAACATCTTGGTTCCAGACCAACAAGATTGACGTTATGGAGTGACCAGCCCAATCCCCGGATCTTAATCCAATAGAAAACTTGTGGGGTGACATCAAAAATGCAGTTTCTGAGGCAAAACCAAGGAATAGAGAAGAACTGTGGAATGTAGTCCAATCATTCTGGGCTGGAATACCTGTTCACAGGTGCCAGAAGTTAGTTGACTCCATGCAACACAGATGTACAGCAGTTCCCAGAAACAGTGCTTATACAACTAAATATTAATGAAGTGATTCAAAGGAAAGCAAAATCTTCAAACATTTTTCAGTTTATATAGTGAATGTTTAAGTTTGTAAAGAAGAATATGCTATTTTTTTGAACAGTCTAATATTCACTTTTCTTCAATTGTTTTAGAGGAACAACACAAATTTGATATATTTTTCTTCATGTTTTGATTTAGAATAGAATGTGTAGTGTTCCCAATGCATTTGTGTATGGAAATAAAAGCTATTAGAAGGATTTTGAGCTTTATTCACTTTTTTTCAACACACTGCTATTATTTTGAACACAACTGTATATAATATTGCCAAAAGTATTGGGACACCTGCCTTTACACGCACATGAACTTTATTGGCATCCCAGTCTTAGTCCGTAGGGTTTAATATTGTGTTGGCCCACCCTTTGCAGCTATAATAGCTTCAACTCTTCTGGGAAGGCTGTCCACAAAGTTTAGGAGTGTGTCTATGGGAATGTTTGACCATTCTTCCAGAAGCACATTTGTCAGGTCAGGCACTGATGTCGGATGAGAAGGCCTGGCTCCACTCTAATCCATCCCAAAGATGTGCTATTGGGTTGAGGTCAGGACTCTGTGCAGGCCAGTCAAGTTCCTCCACCCCAAACTCGCTCATCCATGTCTTTATGAACCTTGCTTTGTGCACTGGTGCACAGTCATGTTGGAACAGAAAGGGGCTCATGTTCCAAACTGTTCCCACAAAGTTGGTAACATGGAATTGTCCAAAATGTCCTGGTATGCCGATACCTTAAGAGTTCCCTTCACTGGAACTAAGGGGCCAAGCCTAACACCTGAAAAACAGCCCCAAATAATAAACCCCCCATCCATCAAACTTTACACAATGCAGTCAGACAAGTACTGTTCTCCTGGCAACTGCCAAACCCAGACACGTCCATCGGATTGACAGACAGAGAAGCGTGATTCATCACTCCAGAGAACACATCTCCACTGCTCTAGAGTCTAGTGGTGGCGTGCTTTACACCACTGCATCTGACGCTTTGCATTGCATTGGTGATGTAAGGCTTCGATGCAGCTGCTCGGCCATGGAAACCCATTCCATGAAGCTCTCTGTGCACTGTTGTGCTAATCTGAAGGCCACACGAAGTTTGGAGGTCTTTAGCTATTCACTCCGCAGACAGCGACTTCTGCGCACTGTAAGCTTTAGCATGCGCTGACCCTGCTCTGTCATTTTACGGGGGGCCTACCACTTGGTGGCTGAGTTGCTGTTGTTCCCAGTTGCTTCCACTTTGTTATAATAGTATTAACGGTTGACTATGGAATATTTAGTACCAAGGAAATTTCACGGATGGACTTATTACACAGGTGGCAACCTATCACAGTACCACGCTTGATTTCACTGAGCTTCTGAGAGCGACCCATTCTTTCACAGATGTTTGTAGAAGCAGTCTACATGCCTAGGTGCTTGACTTTATATACCTGTGGCCACGGAGATGATGGGAACACCTGAATCCAATGACTTGGAGGGGTGTCCCAATACTTTTGGCAACATAGAGTATGTGTGTGTGTGTATATATATATACACATACATACACACACATATATATAGACACACACACACACACACATCCTGTTTTCCCCTATTTTTGCAATATTTTTTATTTTTATTATATGTTCATCAGATTGCTTTGATTGCTTATACAGCCATGATACAGTGGGGCAAAAAAGTATTTAGTCAGCCACCAATTGTGCAAGTTCTCCCACTTAAAAAGATGAGAGAGGCCTGTAATTGGCATCATAGGTAGACCTCAACTATGAGAGACAAAATGAGAAAAAAAATCCAGACAATCACATTGGCTGATTTGGAAAGAATTTATTTGCAAATTATGGTGGAAAATAAGTATTTGGTCAATATCAAAAGTTCATCTCAATACTTTGTTATATATCCTTTGTTTGCAATGACAGAGGTCAAACGTTTCCTGTAAGTCTTCACAAGGTTGGCACACACTGTAGCTGGTATGTTGGCCCATTCCTCCATGCAGATCTCCTCTAGAGCAGTGATGTTTAGGGGCTGTCGCTGGGCAACACGGACTTTCAACTCCCTCCAAAGGTTTTCTATGGGGTTGAGATGTGGAGACTGGCTAGGCCACTCCAGGACCTTGAAATGCTTCTTACGAAGCCACTCCTTCGTTGCCTGGGCAGTATGTTTGGGATCATTGTCATGTTGGAAGACCCAGCCACGTTTCATCTTCAATGCCCTTGCTGATGGAAGGAGGTTTGCACTCAAAATCTCACGATACATGGCCCCATTCATTCTGTTCTGTACATGGATCAGTCATCCTGGTCCCTTTGCGGAGAAACAGCCCCAAAGCATGATGTTGCCACCCCCATGCTTCACAGTACGTATGGTGTTCTTTGGATGCAACTCAGAATTCTCTCTCCTCCAAACACGATGAGTTGTGTTTCTACCAAACAGTTCTATTTTGGTTTCATCTGACCATATGACATTCTCCCAATCCTCTTCTGGATCATCCAAATGCTCTCTAGCAAACTTCAGACAGGCCCGGACATATACTGGCTTAAGCAGAGGGACACGTCTGGCACTGCAGGATCTGAGTCCCTGGCGGCGTAGTGTGTTACTGATGGTAGCCTTTGTTACGTTGGTCCCAGCTCTCTGCAGGTCATTCACTAGGTCCCCCCTGTGTGGTCCTGGGATTTTTGCTCACCGTTCTTGTGATCATTTTGACCCCATGGGGTGAGATCTTGTGTGGAGCCCCAGATCGAGGGAGATTAGCAGTGGTCTTGTATGTCTTCCATTTTCTAATTATTGCTCCCACAGTTGATTTGTTCACACCAAGCTGCTTGCCTATTGCAGATTCAGTCTTCCCAGCCTGGTGCAGGTCTACAATTTTGTTTCTGGTGTCCTTCGACAGCTCTTTGGTCTTCACCATAGTGGAGTTTGGATGTGACTGTTTGAGGTTGTGGACAGGTGTCTTTTATACTGATAACAAGTTCAAACAGGTGCCATTGATACAGGAAATGAGTGCAGGACAGAGGAGCCTCTTAAAGAAGAAGGTACATGTCTGTGAGAGCCAGAAATCTTGCTTGTTTGTAGGTGACCAAATATTTATTTTCCACCATAATTTGCAAATATATTCTTTCCAAATCAGCCAATGTGATTGTCTAGATTTTTTTTTTCATCTTGTCTCTCATAGTTGAGGTCTACCTATGATGCCAATTACAGGCCTCTCTCATCTTTTTAAGTGGGAGAACTTGCACAATTGGTGGCTGACTAAATACTTTTTTGCCCCACTGTATATGTATAAACACTCATATCTGACAGTCCTTGGCTGCAACCACAGAGAACACTGATCGGCTGTGATTAGCTACAGCTCTCACATGGTACAGGGAGTCGGTTCCTGGCCCTGTACCGTGTGATCTCTGTGACCACGCGATCACACCAATGCGCTCTCCCAGGGGGCATGCAGGATTTACAGTTCTAAAGGACATATGGAGATGTCCACTCAGAATGGTGCTTGTCCCACCTGGCCACTGTACATAAACGGCCGGGTTAAAGATCAGAGGAATATACCTGTATTTTAGCTATTATCAAATATAAAATATTAGTGGCAGAGAGATAAAACTATTGACATTACAGATGTTGGACTATAGTATGTGCAGATAAAAAATTGAATTCCCTCGGAGATCCACAAAACAGTTGTATGGATCCAACTCGCGGCAGCCATGCAGGGACTGGACTTGCTGCAATCAAAATGATGTGCTGGTTTCAGAATTCCTATGTCAGCAATCAGAATTGGCTGGTCCATGTAACCCATAGCCAGTTTAGAAAGCAGAAGCTCTCCTCCTAGTAGGGGAGGTGCCACCCCAGGGTTGATTGGCTAAGGGTTAGAGTCCAGCCTCCATCAATATCTCAATCAATAGAGGAGCAAAAGATACGGACCATGTGATTGTTCTAAACAAGACAAATTGCTGGAGCTCAGCATGCTCCCGTCAGTAGGATAAACAATACTACCAGAACAGTAAGTGATCATTTCTGATTTTTTTTTCTCCCATTATGTTTATTTCATAGCCAATTGTCAAATTTTGTATATCTTTTGTAGTTTTCCTCTTTGTACATATTTAATGCACTACACATCTTTGGGTATTTAAATGTTAAATGAATAAGTGGCTTCTGTGTACTAAACCAAGACTTACGTCCACACTTACACCTGTGTGCTCACTCTGAGCTCCTTGTTAATCTGTATGCAATAGCAATATGTGTTGGCATATTGCAAGCAGATTCAGCATTAGCGTGTAACGTTATTAGATTTGCCAGACAGAGAACTGTGCATGGTTGTCTAGCAAATCAGTCACTGGACAAACTGCTAGTTGGTGGCAAGCTATTGCAAGTTGTGTTTCCGATATGTGTGGGCAGTGGGATGAGTGATCAACACTAGAATTCAAGCTTGCAGGTTAGCTTGAGGGTTGCACATAACATTTGTATCTGCCTGTACATGCCAGGTAGATTTGGGTGAAGTCTCTCGGTAGTGGTGGTCAGAAGTATGGCAGGCTTTGACAAGTGTATCACAGCTCATTTTACTTGCTGAAATAAATCTCCTCTCATTCCCTTCTACACATAAAGTTGTCATCTAATTGCCACGGGCTTGCTACCCTCACAATAAAAGTTTGGGAAGAGATGAAAAAAACCATCTTATAGTTAAAAGATTTTAATGACAGAATTTCATGATTAGAATTTGCAGTGAACAGTGACAAAAATCTTAAGAGAAAACTCAAATAAGTATTTAAGCAACTGTTACCCTACCTGAAGCTCTCCTAATGCTTACCTAAAGCCCAAAACAAAAATGTAACGTTTCTGCAATTTACCAGTCCTTAGATGTGGTTGCTGCATTTGTTTATTTTCTAAGTCTCTTCTCCCTTTATTTTCACCTACTTTTTATATTAAGCACATTCTAATAAAGCATAAGTAATTATGAATAACATACTTCCTGTCCCTGGGTGGCTACATTCACTGGAGGAAACTGGAATCACAGAGGAAGCTGTAGTTGCATTTCTTGATCCTGTACTTGCTGAAAATACCACATCTAAGGAGTAGTAAGCTGAAATAAGTTACATTTTTATTTTAGGTTTAGTTGCTTTAAGTAAAATGAAACCCTTAAACTTTTGCCAAACTGTGTAGGAGTCTACTCATCATTTGTTGGGTCTTTAATACAGGGCATTAACAGCTAGAGACCTCTACGTATCAAGGAAGAGAGAATTCCATCTGTATTTATGATTTCAGTATCTCCGGAGAATAAAGACCGTTCCTTCAGCCCAGTGACATCATGATGTTGGCCTATTCAGCTTGTTACAAGGTATAAGATGCTTGGCATCTAATAATTCTCGTAGATCCTCAGAATTCTGAATATTCCAGGCTTCTTGAAATGTGTTCATTTTCTTTCTGACAAAACACAACATGCAAAAGAAGGTTTAAATATATTATGTCCATTAAAGATGGCTTCTGATTGTTCGAGTAAGATAATATCTCATATAATCTTAGAAACAAGACATTCAAGTAAATACGAATCAAACTCTCTGCTCTTCTTCCTTTGATTTGTTATCTTTCTAACCATGTTTATTTGCAGCAGTTTATGCCTGTTTGGACCCAAAGGCAACTGGCTAATAATGAACATTGTAAATTTAAAGGGAAACTGTGACGAGAGAAATAACGGCCTCTGCTGATATGTGTAGGCTCCTAAGTTGTCATGCTTGTCCCGGTTATAAGTCACTGACCTGAAATAAACATATAGGACAGGATGTCAAACTTCAGCCTTTACCACCTGCAGGCATCTATACAACAAAAAAAAACATGTCCCTTAGTGAAAAACTCTTCTGGCTGCTTTTGGTCTCTTCCCATTACACTTTCATTGCATCCACCCATACAATCTGGTATCATGATTGTTCATTGAGGCAATGATATCTAGAAAATCTAAATTCTCTGTCATAAATTGACCGCTATTAACTACTTGCCTCCAGGACATTTGATTGAGTTAATGAAATTCCCCCCCCCCCCCCCCCAATCTTTGTTGGGTCCAGCACAAATCTCAAGCTTCAGTAGGCAAGGAACAAATGCAGCTCCTGCTTCAACGATCGATGCAACAACTGACTGCAACAGACCAGGAATTTCTGACAACAGGACCTTGGTGACTGAATTCTTTTGCCACAAAAAAAAATTATTCTTTGGTGTCAGAGATGGCAGCTTATAAGAGATGAATATAAAAACAAGGTTTTATGTTTACTTAACCATTAGCCGCCCGGCCAATGGCCGTTTGGCGGCTTCAGATGTGCGCCTCCATTCCGGGTGCACGCCATTTGGCGTGCTCCCGCACATGCGCCGTTTGCGCTAGTGCAGAGCGGCGCAGCAGTGCGATCTGTCGGCGGCCGTGCACCTCGGACAC